ACATTGTGCATTTTATACCTCCAGTCATGGAAACAAAGCTGCTTTCCTTAGAGTTCTGAAGGGCTTTGTGAATCCACCTATCAATCTCGAAGCCGTCGCGCAAATTCACTCTGGCACTGGAGAGGGCTGGAGAGACGCGGTCTGCTTTTTTAAACGCCTGGTCCGCCTGCTTCAAAGTGGCTGATGGATTTCACTTCCTGGAACGTGTACTGGCTGACTTTTTGTCGCAACTGCACATGCTTGTGTTTCGCAGTGTGCTCCTACACGTGTCACACAAACTCCTTCAAGTTTCACTGCAGAAATGTCTGCCATTCAGAATTGAATTGATAACGCCTTTTACATTACAGTTGAATTTCTAAATTTGAATTGAGGATGCAGCATACAGAATGCAGAATTGCTATTGAAATTCAAATGCAAGGAAATATAATTCAAGTGAATTAATATAAAGACAAACTTTGAAAGCTTGCCTTGTTTAAAAGTTTTTAACAAAGTTGAAAAACGTTGACGTTAGATTGTTAATTGGATTAATGTGTGTGTGTGTAAATACTTTAAATATTTTGAAAAATCGGTTGGTTTTTTCATCCATACAATGCTATTTTGTTTTGGACCCTAATGACAAAAACAGAATACAAAAAAACAGACACACAGAAGTAAGTCATATGGGTTTGAAACAACCTGAATTTTCATTCACAAGTCATTTTTGTATGAATTTCCCAGAATGCAGTAAATCTGTGTTCTCTGAATCTTTTTAATTCAGCTTCCTGTAGGGTGTGGTCAGTTCAATTCAAATTCACACTCAGTTCTGAATTATGTCCAACCCTGATTCACCCACATCTGTTTTGACCTTTGGTATTTAACAGGCAAAGGTCAGGGACCACATATTAGCGTGTGGCGCCGCCTGTGCTGATCTGTGGTGGCCTGAAGCGAGGCATATGTCTCCTATAACAGCAGATGACAGATACAGGTGTCAGTATCTAAGGTTTATTCCCTACGGTCATGAGCTTCAAGCAGAGCATCTAACTCCACCCCACATCCTTGTACGTCCTTATATCGCTCCCTCCGTTTACCAGCTCTGTTAGTTTTACGCTTCATCCATCTCTGTTTAATTTTTGCGTTTTTTCTTAGACTTTTTCTTTGTCCATCTCGCCGTCCCCCCACCCCTTCCCTTTCCTTCCCTCCGTCCCCTCACCCTCCTCTTCTCTTCCGCCTGCGGGCTGCGAGGATGCCAGGACCCATGCTAATCATGGGTGACACATCATTGAGGGGAGCGGGCTGTTTGCTGTCAGCAGTGTTTTTGGTTCATAATTATTTCACGAGTGTCACGTCAGTGTCAGGCTCTGGGCGAGCGGAGAGAGACAGCCGGCCTGCGGAGAGGAAGAGTGGGTGGAGGGGGGAGTGTCACAAGACCTCACTGTTAGCCACTTTCTGCCCAACACCTCCACTGCCTGCACTTGGAGAGAAAGGCGAGCAAGATGAGAGGAAAAGAGACGTCTTTCAGTGTAGGGTTTGAACTTGATGGGTCACATTCACCATGTTCACAGATATTTGTAAAATCTGTGGGCAAGTGTTTTCTCACAAAAATCATGATTCATCTTTGAGTCGCATTATTTATGTAAACTGTTTTTTTTTTTTTGCTCACCAAGGCTGCATTTATTTGATCAAAAATAAAACTATTATTGTGATTTGATTTTTTTTTCTTTCTATTTTATTATATTTTAAAATGTAATTAATTCCTGTGATGGCAAAGCTGAATTTTCACATGATCCTTCAGAAATCATTCTAATATGCTGATTTGGTGCTAATGAAAGCCATGTGAAAACATTGTTTTAATTCAACTATAGTATATAGAGTAGTGTAGACTACCAGGCTTAATGTTGGTGTTATTTATTGAACTTAAAGCTTCACATCATAAAGATACAGACAAATCATGTCCTTATCTAAACGGGAAGATGATTCTGTATGGAATTTGCATTTGACCGGTAGAAGAGGTGACCTTCTCACTTAACAGGGAAAATATCAAAGGTTGATTGAATGGTGAAATTGTTCAAATTTCTTGCAGTGTTAGGAGAAAATGCAGGAAGAAGTTGGTCAGTCTTTATTTATTGCTGTCTTAAATCTCAAAACAAAGTTTCCCCAGTTTTCTGAGCATTAAAATAAATCATAGAAAGCATGGAAATATTTTAGTTTGCACAATAATTGTGTGGATGATTTATCCTGGTCATCATTTACTTACACTCATGTCCTTCCAAAAACCTAATCGCAAAAGAAATGTAACATATGCACTGATAATCTTCCTATCTAGTAGCCTGTTAATCTCAGTTTATGTTAAATTGATCTCCAGAAACAGATTAGCCTGATTCATGAATGAATTGTTCAGACCAATTTAGTTTTTTCATTGGGACCGAAAAAGAATGATTCCTTTACAAATTAGACATTGCTACTTGGCATATAGCGCAAAAGTTGTATTGACTACTTTCATACCGGGATTTTTGTCATATGGGTTGACGACAGACCCAGTTCACTTTCATTATATCATACCATACAGGTTTGGAATGACTTGGGGCTGAGTAAATGACAAAATTTTCATTTTTGTGTGAACTGCCACTTTAAAAATAGCAAAAACTGTAAAATGTTTTTGTAATGTTTTGCAACTATACTGTGTGTGTATATATATATATATATACATAACAGTGTCATGCATATATTAATTATTATATACATTATTAACGCATTTACTGTCGCTATTCCAGCCTATTAGGCCTATAAGGGGCGGCAGTGGCTCAGTGGTTCATGTGGGTTGTCTACAAACCGGAAGGTTGGTGGTTCAATCCTCGGTTCCACCTGACCAAGTGTCGAGGTGTCCATGAGCAAGACACCTAACCCCGGCTGCTCCCGACGAGCTGGATGGCGCCTTGCATGGCTGCCGTCGCCCGTCGGTGTATGAATGAGTGTGTGAATGGGTGAATGTGAGGCAAATGTAAAGCGCTTTGGTGGCCATTGGGTCTGTGAAAGCGCTATATAAATGCAGTCCATTTACCATTTACCATATAAGTCCTGCATCAATTCATTCTTCCAATTAGGCCTATTCTGTAGCTTATAAACAAACGATTTTAAAGCATTTAAGCACTGACACCGCAAACTGCACCTTATCTTGCGCATTTTGTGAATCAGAAGCTGTTCTTTGAAGTTCAGAGTTCGGTCGATCGGTAAAAGTCAATTTAACAGAAGGCTAAAAATGTATATTTTGTAAAATTCTGGACGGATTCCCCCAACCACCCGCACGCAAATACTCTATTGTTCTGAACGAGTCACCCAGGCTGTGTGACAAACTTTAGCTTCAAAACAAGGAAATTCACCAAAAGAAGACAACTTTAAGGCATTATTCATTTTGTACCTACAATATTCTAAGAGTAGAGTTAACTTTATAGTTACCTACACAATGTGTTAACTAGGTTATCGGATAAAACAAGTTGTCCAATTATATTTAAAAGGATTATTGCCGTTTCCATAGACAATAGACATCAATGTATATTTTACAAACTATAAATGTTTTGCTTGGCCTTATCTTTATTTAAATGTCATAATCATAAATAAGCATTATATGGTTAATAACGCTAAACAGTTGTGATATGACGCATGTGATGTGTCCATCTCTGGCTCAGTGCCCGCCAAAGTGCAAATGCAGATTTGAATATAGCAGTTGATAATGTGACGCATTGAAGATTCTAATCACACTGGTGTGATTGTACGCTTTAAAGGTTTAATTATCAATTTTATTTTATTTTTTCTTATGGAAGCTGCATTCTATATATTCTATATATATATATATGTACTGTAGTTTTCAGAAATCTCTGCTGTGCCGCTTAATTAAATGCAATCCAGACACACCAAAGAAGTATAGAAAGAAAAGAAACAGCGGCAAAAAAGCAAGTGAAGACAAACCCCAGTTGATGGTTAGGACAAAGACGGCAGGTATACGGTGCATCTAGTGGAAATGAGGAAGAACAAAGGGGAAGAGGAGGAGGAGGTTTTGCACCCTGTTTTTTCAGCCCTCTCTCTGGTGTCACACACGTCACAGGCTGAGGAGGAGGGAAGCAATCAATGATTTAAACAATAATGCAGCTCTCTGTATTCCCTGTCACACTCTCGCCTGCTTGCCGCTTCGAGGACTGTCACACACTGTCTCCGCCTCGACAGCTTATCTCCCGCATGCTGCTACTCCATCTTGTAGCTGTCCGCCAGTGTCCTCACTCACTCTCTCCAATCCCTTTCTCTCTCTCTCTCTCCCACATCCTCTCCATCGTTCTTCCTACCTCTCGTTCTCTCTCCCTTCCCGACTGTGTTACTCACATGATGCCTTCACTCCTGGTTAATACACTGTGTCCCTATCTCACGCTGTCGCTCCATTCCCTCTTGCGCTCCTCGTGGAGTGGCAGGGCCGGTAGCCCGGCACAGTTTTAATGGATTGTTTTCAGAAGGTAAATGTGGAAGTTCTTTGGCTGATGCAGCTGGCCTTCTGTAAGGCGTATATACTAAGAAGCCAAGGAGACAAGTGGACAGGAACTCTCTCTCTCTCCCGATTTTCCACTGTCCCCATACCCATTTCCTTCTGCCATTTCACACACTGCGGCTCTAGCTTAAAGGTATCAGCTTAAATTAAACTATCGGGACAAACAAATTACATCTGTCACCTTTGGTTTGCATGGACTTGACAGGAATTCAATGAAGGCCTCCATGTTTGTTTGGTGGAGTTCTAATCACACTTCAGTGATGGCTGCTCCAATCAGGCACTTGGATAACAGACTTGCTGTTTCACTGCTAAAGTTCAAAGGTTACACAAGAACTGGTCTGTAACCTATGTGTGGAAAAAACGAAATCCCATGAATCGATGTCGCAATTGCAAAGCTGCGACCAGACGTGTAGCGGCGAGTCTCCGGGGAGCTCTAATCTCTGCGTCATCAGTCAGAATGCTGAAGTTCGGCTGAGCTAGGGGTCAAGGGTCAAGCCCATCGGCCTGCTGACAGCCTATCCTTGCAGCTCCCAGCATGCAGCCGGTTCTAGGCTATCAGTAGGACAGCTGGAGTGAGAGATGCTCATTATGGGCTTTTGACTGCAGACGCCGGAACCACCGGGAGCAGATGCGCAGAATGGCACCGAAGCTGCGGCAGGCCTGTAATGGAGCCGAGATGCTGAGCGCAGGTGACACGTGTCCTGTGAACTCAGGGGGTGTAGGATGGTATTGGAAGCCTACCGCTGCTGCTCCAGAGATCTGCCCAGATCATAGGCTTCTTTTTAACACGACCCCGACACGACAGGGAAGCCCAAAACTCGCCTCTAATTGGCAAGCCATTCATTTCACATTCAGATTGTTGTTTCACTGCAGTTCTGTTCTTTTTCTTACAGATCTGAAATGGCAGAATACTTGGACCTGAACGTATCCAGTCCTGTTTGATACTCTAATTTTGACCACAGAAAAAGGGTTTGACATCAGTCAGTTGGGACACAAGATGGACCTGTCATAGCCGTAGCAATAACACGCTGGGCTGGCAGGTGCAACAGATCGCCTCTCTTTAATCTTTCACAAAACAGACCGAAAGCTCCATGCAATTGTACTCCCCTATTTTGAAGGTCATAGGTCAAAGGGTTACCACTTAAAGATAATTGTTTTAGCATTGCCTGTCTTTGACGTGTGCTGATCATCCCCTATATTTAAACATAATGGAACGATAAATATAGAATTTGCTCTCAGCTTGAATGGAAAAATTAGACAAAAGAGCAGTTTAAACCAGATTAAAATAAAGATGGACTAGAATACGTTTGAATCAGTTACAATTGATTATTGAAGAATGGTAATAGGTAATCAATAGTTAATATGCAATTTTATGCTTTAATAAGGGGCATTAATAACATGGAAGAAAGGTGTATGTCAGTGTTAATGAAGCTCAATGACTTTTATTGACTGCCCCTTTTTGGCCATTTCTTACCCGAAGATCCTCTTTAACACAACTACTTCTTACTTCCTAGGGTCAAGCTATGTTGTTTACACTTCTAGTGCTGCAGATGCCCTCTTTAAAAATACATGGACAATAAACATCCCTTTTCTTCTCTTTCTTTCTCCCTCAGATGCTCCCTCATTCATAGTGTCCAGCTCCATCTGCCCTTGTTTGATGACACCAGTTAAACGGTGGGAGAGGAAATGGAAATTTGGGACAAAGCCCCCCGTTTTTCCAGGGGGACTAATATGTTGTGTGTCAACATCAAGGCTCTGTCCACAGAGTTGTCTCTATCTCAGGCAGTTGGACCCATGGTGCAGTGCCTGATAACAGGGCCCCATGACACAGCTCCATAATGAAGCCCATTTCGACCATTCATCCTGTGCTAAATGGCTGTATATCTGTGATGTACAATCCACGTTTTGTTTACAAAATGGTAAGCATGACCGCTGCACTATTATTCATTAGCCCAGCAGTGTTTGTCCACATATTTCAATGCAACTTTTGGGATTTTGCATAAAAATGCTTGATGTTTTTGTTTTTTTAAATGCGCATAATAAATTATTTGTTTGTTTGGACTGTTACCGAACTGATTTGTCAGATGTGGTATTGTTTCCAGACATAAGGCGTTTGCCACCAATTGCTGGCAAACATGAAATTTGTCCAATACTTTTGTTTGCGCTCTAAACCACAAATAATTGAATGCCTTAGAATGGCTGTTTCACTTCTATTTTGCGCAAAATGTATTTACAAATAGTTTTGTGATATTCTGATTTTAATGGAAACACAATAGCTATTGTCTGCATTCCAAATTTTTACCACATCATCTAGATGGAACATAGTTTTTACTGTTTGCCAACTCATCAACTGAAATACAAAAATGGTTAAATGTTGAAAGTAACTTAAAATTTTCTTTAGGACTAATAAAACCCCAAATTAAACAACTTAAGGTTTGTTCAATGTGACATTACACAGAAGTGACAAAATGAGATACAATTGCATCATTAAACAAATGAGCCCTCAGGATTACAGCAAAAACACTAGCACAAGGACAAACCCTTAAACAGGACATCCATCAATCTAACAGGATCAATTTTCCAAAGGTCTCTGGATCAGGGATAAAGGAACGAGGGGTTAATCTCTAGAAATCATGTCCTTATTAATAACAATTTTTCAAATATGTAATGCCTGTGAAAGAGTAACTAAAAAATTAATCAAAAGTGATGGCAGATTTGGCCAGCTTTTGCCTTTTTTTTCCCAAATGGAACTATAAAGTCTTGGTTGCTTTTGAGTTTTAGTTTGTTTATGTGGACTTGTTTTTTGATCTACTAATATTTCTGGACATGTTTTTTTCTCAATGTGATTTCCTCGTGGCCACGACCAACAAATGATATGGTGCCACTGAATAATAAAAAAAAACCTTTCTCTGAACATCAAACTAAGAAAGCAACAGCATCTGATATTTCTGGAACAATTCAATGTGCAATTACTGTTAATTTGTCCTGATGAAATCATGTGAAAGCACTTGTCTGCTGAACTTAACGCTGTATGAGAATATTCATGTCTTTGACTTTCCACACTTAGAAGATAATTATTGTTATTACCATCACGGTTGAGATCACTCCACAAGGACATGTCAAGACAGTTAAAATCCACACACGCAGATGCGTGCGCTATACAACAGAGCAAAACGCAAAATGTCTCGTTATCACCTTCAAAATGCTAATCAATTATGTCCTAGCGTGTTTCCCGCCGAGAACACAATGTTTTATTTGTATAATTACTCCCCCTCTGCTGTCGTTTAGATTCATATATTTATAACCCATGCAACTTTATTGATTTTACCATAAGGCTGCATCATTTCTGCACCATAAACAGAACCGGGCTTTCTAAACAGAACAACAGGGTTTAGTGTAAAACAGTCGTGTTGACAGGATGTATGATTAGCTGTGCAGGGTTGGAAAGGGCCGCTTGGCAGACATAAAAGACAAGCTTTTCCTTTCAGAGGCAAATAAAGGGACACAAAGTGGACATCACATTGAATCATGCTCACAGTCAGAGGTGGCAGCTCGGCGTGCATTTGACCAATCTCCCTCGCTCAGGGCACACTTATAATCCTAGAGGAAACCACCGGAGCCGATGCGACATATACGCTGAACACACACAAAGACCCTTATTCCACTCTTGGATGTGGTTAAGAGAGATATAAGAGGGCTGGAATTCCACTCTTCGACGACGTACTGGCCACTTTTATTCGACTTATTCTAGCAGACTGTTATTGAAATAGAGTTTCGTTTGAGTTGTTCAAGGACAGCCCTGTGTATGAATACAGCCTCAACACCCTGTGCAAGGAACCTTAAAGCATTCGAGACAGCCATCTGATAAGGCAATTAGTGTAATATATTGTCTTGATTTGATTCATATTAGCCTCACTTGATTTACTGTGCATGGTCTGCAGAAGAGCTAAGATCCAGACAGCATGTCCCATGCCAGAGTTGGTTTAAATGTCTTTCTATGGGCAATGGGAGTATATCCCAGAATACTGTCAGAAGGTGTGGTCAGGCATACTTGTGTTGTTGGCACTGGGGCGACACCATAAACGACAATCTAAAGTGGAAGTTGATCATCTAAATGCAAAGTGAAGGCAAACCAAAGAAGCATCTCATCAGATAAAGCCCCCGTTTTGTAATTATATGTGTTTATCACATTAAATAAATTCTATTTCGAATTTTAGGCAACAGCACAGAATGATGATAATGACAGTAAACTTCATTCCATAACCAACAGGGCTGACTCAGATTTACATCGCACTGTCATATTAATTATTTATGGAAGGGTGAATTTATGGCCCTGTCTGGGCAAGCTGCTAAATCTGAATGGCCAAATATTGAGATTTTAGCGCTATGCTTTTAAATCACCCCTTGATTTGTCTCTGCTTGTTTGTCAGTGGCTTTGCGCTTCAGGTCATGAGTGGCATTTGCTTGTGTGGCCCCTAATTGCTGAGTCCCAGTCAGACAGATGAGTGTTGATGCCTGGCACAGAGAATAGAGCTGGAGTGTGTGTGTGTGTGTGTGTGTGTGTGTGTGTGTGTGTGTGTGTGTGAGGGAGAGGGAGATAACACCCCTGATAAAATATTGTTACCAGTACAGGAACATGGAGTGATAAAGATTATAACTCAAGCTATGAATAGACTCACAGTAGACTCACTGGATCCCTTCAGACCCTTTAATTATATTATATAAAATTCATTTTTTTGGACATTTTTTATATATATATATGTCTCGGGTATATATTTATTTAATAGTTTTATATAAATTATATAATAAAATGTAAAAAAATATATATATAATATAAGGTTATAATTTAACATAAAATATAATAATTTAATAACTTTTATCTTAGTCAAATATATTTTACCTATACATTTTTTAAATTAGTCTTTTATCATAAATAGTTGAACAATTTTAAGATGGTACAAAAACAACTCTGAAAAACAGTATTATAAAGGTCTCGGTTAGGCCTGTATGGTTATAATTGTACTTGCTGTCAATTTTAAATAAAAGATCATCTGATGTAAAATTGTGAATATGTAATATGAATATGAATTTAGTTTTTTCATTGACAATTACAGCATTGTCACTTATTTCCTTTTTTGAATGGTAAGACCGAACGTTCAGTTTCTTAACAACGCTGGGCTGTATCATTTCCCAACTAATGGAGCAGCAAATGGGATAACAAGGCCCTCTAGATTTGTTGGCTGTCCCTGAAATTAGCACATTTACGAGCTCTGTCTAAATTAAACAAATCATTGATTTTATGTAGGGGAGTTATAGCACCATATTCTGAAATTGAGTCTGGGAGAAACTTGATAGCAGTCGGGTTCCCCTCTCATTTTCCCTTCATTCCTGATGCTGTTTCCTGTTAAGAGAGAGAGAAACAATCTCTCACCCCCCCCAGGTACTCGAAGCCACACCACCAAGAGGAAACAAAGCCTCCGCTCCTCAAACGAGCGAAAGTCGTGTCCCCCTGTTGGAGTGTGACACACGCCGGGCCCTGCCTTTAGTTAAATATGAAAGCGTTGAGCATGCGTGTGTGTGTGTGTGTGCGTGTATTTTGAGAGAGTGACTGCCAGGACTCACAGAATCAGCTGCAAAACCATTTTTAGAGCTCTCGTTTCCCCTTCTCTCCCCGTCGCCTTTGATCATGTAGCACTGTCTACAGTATGAATGCTTACGCGCTCGCTCTCCCCCTCTGTCTTTCACACTCTCTGTTCTTTTGTGTGTATTTGTGCATGTGTATATAGAGACGTCGCAATAGATCCATTGAGAGTGATGGGTGTCCTCGGGTTTGGATTTAGATAAGAAGAGAGGCCTTGTGTAATTCTGGTTTTAAAAAAAGGCAAGCGGCCCGGATCAGCTTCCGTGCTGGGGTGAATCATCTTCATGACACCTAGAGTACAGGAAGCGGATGAGAAAAAAAGGGAAAGGGGAATTTAATGATTGTTTTTTGCAGGAATCTCACTGTGACATACTTATCTGCCATTTCTATCTTTGTATTTAATTCTCTTGTTTTTCTTTTCAGGCTCTACGATGGATACAGGGATCATTCCATCTCATTTACGAATCCGATCTATACTCGTGTCTACTGAAAAGTGTATAAAGGGTTAGTTCACCCAAAATGACAATAAAAAAAGGTATTTTGAAAATGTGTTTTTTTGTTTGTACAATGAAAGTAAAAAACAACAACAAAAAAACACTGCTCCTCAGCGTTCTTTACAATATCTTATCTTGTGTTCCACAGAAGAAAGAAAGTCATACAGGTTTGGAACAACATGAGAGCTAGTAAATGACAGAATTTTAATTTTTTTGCGTGAACTATCCCTCCACCATCAGGTGAAAAGAAAAGTGATCTCCTAGGTCTGATTGGTTTTCATTCATATTGTAACTGTCAATCATTTCTACAGCAGCACCATTTTGCTTGTCCATTACATTTTTTTGTCCGTCTGTTTTTTAAATTAATTTAGTTTTAAAAAGTAATCTACTAGTGGAGACAGGCTCAGTGACAACGCCGTAATCTTAGGTTATAGTGCAGGAATACAGCATTTAATTTACCAGCTCTTAGCATGAGCACTTCCAAGTGCTAAGTGACAGAAATGAATAGCCATCTGAAGCACATGGCTGACATATGCTAATGAGGAATCTGTGCTGAGGCTCCATTGTGCGGGACATCTCGCTATAGGTCCTCTGGTACACGTTTCACTGCAACCACAGTTGTAAAGGTAATAATTAAGATCTGACGGGTGTGTTGAATAGATGTCTCTGTTAAGCAGTGGCCATTCTGCCTCAACGCAGGTCCTCAATTATCACTGTGCTCTGCATTACAGGGACATCTGAGAAGTCAA